CAAAAGGCTGGGTAACAAGAGTACTTTTTCTTGAGTGGATCAGGGAGGCTTTCTGCCCCATTGCTAAGAAATATCTAGAGGACAAAGGTTTACCACTCAAGACTCTCCTCTTCATGGACAATGCTCCTGCTCACCCACAAAATTTGGGAAAAGAATTGGCTGAAGAGTTCCCATGGCTCTCAGTTACGTTCCTCCCACCTAATACATCTCTACTGCAGCCTATAGACCCGCAGGTTATAGCTAACTTTAAGAGGCTACACACCAAGGAACTGTTCCTGAATTTGCTTTCAGATGGTCTCAGATACAGATTTAACCCTTAGAGAGTTCTGGAAGGAACAATGCAACATCTTTTCTTGTGTGGGGTTGAGAAATCCTGGGTCAGTGTCTCTCTAAAGACACTGAGATCTGCCTGGAAGAAAGTGTGGCCTAAAATTATGCAAGAGAGGCACTTGAGCCTTCAACAGATCCTGTGATTGATGACACTGTCACTATAGCAGAGTCCATAGGCTTGCAGGTAGAGAGTAGTGATGCTGAGGAACTGGTAGAGGAACTGTCTACAGAGGAACTTTAGCAACTTCTGGCTGAGCAACAAAGAATAGCAGTTGAGGAGCTTTCTGAAGAGAAGAGGGAGTATCAACAATCAGTGCAGCAAAGTTATTCTTCTGAAATAAAAGAAATCCTGAAAAAATGAACAGAGCTACAAACATCTGTAGAGAAGACCCACCCAGGCAGTGAAAAAGGCAATCATTGCATTCACTTGCTTAATGACAATGTCACGTCATACTACAGAACAGTGTTAAAGAAAAGACAGAAACAGACAACTTCAGACCAGTTTTTAGTTCTGAAAAGGTGAGCCAGAAGCAGGTCCTACTGCACTACAGGCTCTCCTAAGGACAGAAAGGACACCAGAGAGCCAGATTCCTGATGTTCTTATGGAAGGGGACTCTCCTTCCAAGCAATAACCACCTTCCATTTCATCCTCCCTTGCTGCAAACAAAAAATGTCAACTGGAATGGTGAGTATAGTATGAAATTAGGCAACTTTAAACCAGGCATATTTTATAACTTTTTGGTGAATACACTAGGAAAATTACTGGTGTTTCTGGTAAATTACGCACATTATACAACCTTTTTAAATTATGAGGTTAGTTAAGGGATGCTTTGGGAGGTGTGGACCACATTACAGGTATTTCCATTATTTCTTATGGTAAAAATAGTATTTCTTATGGAAAAAAAAGTACTCCATTATTTCTTATGTAAGTCAATAGTATTGACTTACAACCAACTTGAGTTACAACCAGCCGTTGATAACAAATTGAGTTTGTGAGTCAAGGGTCCACTGTATTCTAAACACGTAACAACACACTTAAGAAAATATGAAGCAAAACTGATAGAATTATGAGGAAAGGGGGTAAAATCCAAATTGTGGGAGACTTAAGACATTTTGTTATGAGATAGATCAACTGCACACCAAAAAATAAGAACACAGAAATCTAAGTGCAACTAACAGGCTTGATCTTATAGATGTATTAGAACACTACAAGCTGCAGAGCACACATTGTTTCAAAGCATATATGAGACATTTATAATTTCTGGTCACATACTTTAAAATTCCAGCACTTAGGGCTGCACTCGAGACCAATTAAATCAGCATCTCAGGAGATAAGGTGCAGACATCCACACTGTTAAAGTTCCCCAGGTGATACCAACGTGTAGCTAAGGTTGCAAACCATTGAACATGGGGTAATTTACAGCCTTCTGTGCTTTATTAAAAATTAAGGAATGACAGGCTGGGTATGGTGATGTCTGCCTGTAATCCTAGTACTCTGGGGGCTAGGGTGGGAGGACTGCAAGTTTGAACCGAGCCTGGGCAACCTAATGACTTGGTCTCAAAATAAAAAATAAAGCAAAGGCTAGGAGGTAGCTCAGTGTTAAGTTCCAGAGCCATCAAAAAAAAATTAAAGAAGGATAAAAATCTATGCTATAGTCTAGTTCAAGCTAGAAACGAAAAGCCAAATAAAGCCAGGAAAAAAAAAATAGGAGGAAAGAAAAAGGAGCCAATGCGATACCACTTCCCCAGTCCCTGGAGGATGTACTCCAAGACCTTCTGCAGATTCCTGAAACCATGGATAGCACCAAAGCCAATATAAAGTGTTTTTACTATACCTGTGATACCATTTACTTTTAATTTATAAATTAGGCACAGTAAAAGATGAACAACAATAATAGTAAAATAGGACAATTATTAGAGCCATTATTAAGTAAAGCACTGAGAAGCTGTGACAATCAATCTCAGAACCCAGAGAGCTGCCAAGTGACCAGAGAGGCAGGACAAATGGACCATCTGCATCCCAGTAGGGATACACGGGCACGTAGAGGACAAGCTGTCCTGCTTTGTCCCTAAAATCTCATGACACTTGAGAGTCCATCATGCAACTTGGAATAGGGTACAAGTTAAAGCACATGAATCACTTATTTCTGGAGTTTTCCATTTAATATTTTCAGACCACTGTTGGCTGCAGGTAACTGAAACCCGAGATAAATGGTGACTCCTGTAATGATGCAGAAAAGAAACATAACAGAGATAACCAACAAAGCTAAAAGCATATCCATATATCTTCCAAAAGAATCAACTTCAGAGCTGGGTGTGGTGGTGCATACTCATAAACCCAGCACTCTGGGAGGCTGAGGCAGGAGGAACACAAATTCAAGTCCAGCCTGGATAACTTAGTGATTTGGCAAGACCTTGTCTCAAAATAAAAAATTAAGAAGGGCTGGGAATGTAGCTCAGTGCACAGGCCCTGGGTTCAATACCTAGTGCTAGGGAAGGAAAATCAACTCTAGGTAAATAAAGAAATTAAATCAGAAAAACAAAACAAGAGAAGTCCCCCGTGACTGTGCGGGAAATATATGTTTGTAATTTTGGTATAAGATGAATTTCTTTAAAAAAAACAAAACCACAAGCCATGGAGAAGGAGTTGATAAATACTGCATAACTGTACTAAAGATTCTGTTTATCAAAAAAAAAAAGATTTTGTTTATTGAAGGATACCATGAAAAAAACTGAAATATCATGAGATGGAAGAAGGCACATGCTTATTTATATCATGTATAGCTGGGATATATGAAGAACCCTATTAATTAACAAGAAACTGACAGGCCCAAAGAAAATGGGCAAGACAGGCCTTTCACAGAAGTGAAATTCAAATGCCAGATCAGTATAAGAAAATATGGTTGTGCTGGGGATTTAGCTCAGTGGTTCCACCTCCTGCTTTGCAAGCGCAAAGAACGATGTTTGATGTCCAGTACCAAAAAAAAAAAAAAAGAAAATATGGTCAACCTGAAGAATAACTGTCCAGAGGCAATGTGAAATCACAATGAGGTGTTATTTCATAGCCTCCTGGTTCAGGACACCCCTTATTCTGCTTTCACCATCCAGTCCCCAGGCCTCCTTCTTTTCTATGAAATGTTGACTGGCTGGCCCACTGCTTATGCCCTGCTCTTTCATTTCCTGTCTTTCTCCTGAATATTCTACCCTTCTCTTTCTTTTGGCCCCTTTCTCACAGCATAAAAGATGGCCAGAGTTTCTTACAAGTTAAAAACAATTCTTCCCTCAGTGCCTTCCCTTCCCTTCCAAATTTATCCACTCAGGCTTATGGACAGCCTCACCACACCTCTTCCCTGGAGAACCCAAATTCCTGGGATTGTTTGATCTCCATGGTCTTTGCCATTGTTGGCCTTCCACCCATTCGCCCATTAAAATATCCCCCTCATCTTGTTATTGAACAAGAGAAGCTGCCCTCCTAACGCTCTCCTTCCTAGGCTGCTACTGTCTTCTCTCTCCTCACCTTGCACATGTTTCTTCTCAATAATCTTCTGCTACCATTCTTGTTGGGAGAGGGGTTGAACTCAGGGCTGGTACCTGCCAGGCAGGCTCCTCCTCACTGATCCGCACTCTGACCCCAACCTTCTCCCCTTCTATTCCTGTATTCCTTCCTAGTTTTCATTTCTACTTGTGAGCTAATGATTTCTGAATCAATATTGATAGCATGTGCTTGACACATTTCACCTGCTTACCGAAGAAAACGTCCTATTAAATATATTGGCACAAGGATTAATTAAATACCTTGTTCTGACATGAGGACTGGGTATGGTGTGAGTTTACTTAAAGCAAAATTTTGCTTAGAGGAAAGGAACAGAGCTCATTATTGGGGATATATGGAAAATCTGAAAGTGAATGGTGAGCATAAATCTTTAGATACAGAACCAGAATACTCATAAAATACTTTTGAGGATGCATGTGCTCAGTAGTAGAGTGCTTGACTAGCATGTGCAAGGCCCTGGGTTTGATCTTCAGTGCCAATAAAAACAAACAGTCTTTCTGTATGATGGAATCCTCTATATAATTCTTTTCTTTTTCCTTTTTAGAACTAGGAGCAATGATATAAACCAGGTAGTGGCAAACTATGGCCTGTAGGCTAAATCTGGCCTGTTACTTGTTTTTGTAAATAAAGTTTTATTGCAACACATACACATCCATTCAATTACATTTATCTATGGCTGTTTTCATCCTACAATGGCTCAGCTGAGCAACTGCAAAAAAAAAATGTACAACTCACAAACTCTAGAATATTTGCTCTCTAGCCATTTATATAAAAGTGTGCCATTTTTAATACAGATCAATACCTTTTCCACAGTCAACATATTCTTTAAAATGCTAACCTCGTATAAGTTATATTTTCTAAGACTAAGGACAAAGCTTAGCTATCGGAAAGCCCTCCTCATCCAGGTGTGGATGAAGACAGATTACATGGTAACTGAGAACTAGTTTTCTCTGAGATTTCATTGAAAGAACTCCATTGATATTACTAAGTACATCATCTAAGTGGTTTCAATAATGAGAGACAGAAACATTTTGGAATATCTGGTAAGACCTCGTCCCCTGGGATAGCTAAGCAGAGGGCAGTGTCACAGTCAACAGGACAGCCATAGGACTCTTGCCTTGTCTGCAGGTGTTAGCCTGGCCCAGGGCTTGTCTGCCCGGCGGTCATAGTCGGGAGAATCAGTGACTTCTACATATTCGTTAAATCGCAGGATCCTTCGTGCTTGTAGCTCTGCTACTGTGGGTCTCAGGCTGAGCTGCAGGAGAGTAGGGAAAATGGCAGAGATCAGAAAACCACTTATAGCCTCATGGTGGCAAGTTTTCTACAGAGAACACTTCAAAGTTTGGTTACATAAGGTCACTGTCAGGTATCCAAAAAAAAGGCAGCAACACCTTGGGAATTTGTAATGAGAACTAGAAAGCAGTGTGCCCTCATTTTTCAGACTATAAAAACCATCCCGTTAGATAGGTCATAGTGTTTGGCGACTACTGCACTGTGTTATTTCCCTCAGCTTGCCGGCAATGAGATAAAAGCCCGCCTGTCTTTTCCATCATAAGGAACAAGCAGGGACGCCACCAGGATAGTAAACCAGTGGCAGGATGGCTGGGCTGGTGGCTGAGGGACCAGAACAAAAATCGCGCAACTTGGAGAAATGAGAATAAGCACAGCTTTCTCAAGAAAAGCAGGACACAAGCCTGGCACCGACAGGTACCCTGAGCCAGAAGAGCTGTCACTGGGGACGAAGAGGCAGGCGTGCTGAAGAATCACACTTGCCACCACTTTAAACACTTCTCATCATTGGCTGCCTCCTTGTGGCCTTGTGCAATTCAAATTTATAATTCTACCGAATCTGGCCACTCCTTTGGGGATTTGCTTTCCTCTCTTGGTCCTTTCTCAAGCCCACAAATCAGATGAAAACAATTCTGATGGATGAAAGACACAGAACCTCCTGGTTGACAGGCAGCATCTACTCTCTGCTCTTGAGTTTCACCCCTCGATGGGCCCTCCCTCAGCTTGGAGGTGTCAGTGCTTCCAGACAAGGGGATCTGAGCTCTGTTCTACCTAGAGCAGTGATGGCGAACTTTTTAGAGCTTTCAATGATAACAAACAGCTTGCTGTGGCACGCTTGCCTTAAGCTCACCACCACTGAGCTAGAGGGGCTCTTTTCAGTATCTTTGAACATTTATATGCACTCTGAAAACATTCAGACTATGCCCTCTCTAGAGATAGTCCTTGTTTGCATAAGTGCACGTATAATAAACCCTGCAGATGCTCTCTAGTCAAAAACAGCCCCTTTCCTGGACCTCAGTTTCCTCCTGAGTAAAACCAGAAGTTGAATTAAGTTCATGCTGAGCCAGGCACGGTGATGCAGGCTCAACATCCCAGTACTTGGGAGGGCGAGGCAAGAGGATCACCATGAGTTTGAGGCCAGCCTGGGCTACATAGTGAGGTCAAGGCCAGCTTGGACTACATAGCAAGACCCTGTCTCAAAAAAACAAAAACATCAAAAGAAAAAAGTTAATGCTGTAATAGTCAAGAGCTCCCTAGGACTCCCGGAAAGCCAAGATCCACATCCTGGGCCCGAGTGAGCTGCGTTATGGCAACTAGAGCTCCTTCCGTCCACAGGGAGCCCTGGCAGGCACTGGGCAATGCTGGGAATAATCTGGGTAGTCCTGCTACATCTGCAGTGTCCCCCGATCTACACAGCCAGCTTCTCCTGTCTCTGTGGGGGAAGAGGACATAAGGAGGACCTGCCCCGGGCCAGGGAGTGCGGGGGTGGGGAGAGCAGGAGCATGGCCTCATCCAGGGCCCAGGGAGACTGAAGAAAGGGTCTGTGCGTCCGAGGAATGAGCCGGGAGCAGTGGATGGGGCTGCTGCTTGAGTGCAGCGGTGACTTAAGGGCCACTGACTACTCCAGAGCCTCCCCAGAAGCTGAGGGCTCACTGTCTCAGCTCAAACGCAATTCGACATTAGGCGCTTTGAGAAAAGAAAGAAATGAATTAAGGATCTCTTTCTCTGGAAAACCAAACCAAACAAACCCAGTCCTAACTTTTCCATAGGAACGGAGTGTTTCCTGTACCCGCCTGAGAATGCTTTCACTGGGCACTCCCAGACAGACCTCAGAAATGTGGGTCAGGCCACACACTTGACAGCAGCATCATATTTCAGTCACCCTGCCCTTGTCCAGATAGGAAAGATCTATCTGAAGAATTACCAAAAGGGTTTATACTGAAATATAAACTCTAACGGTGCTTAATTTTTCCAAAGACTATTATTTTAACACAGAAAAAAAAGTCATCCCTGGAATCAGATTTACATTTCCATGAAATACACAGGCATAGTAGCCTGAGTTTTGGAAGGAAGCTGTTTGTCAGTTTGGGTAGTACCATGGCAGGTGGGCAGGATGGTCAAGCTCACTAATAAATTACCCAGGTCTAGGCCAGGGATTGAGCTCAGTGGTTCCACTGCCTGCCTCGCAAGTGCAAGGTCCAGGGTTCCATCCCTGGTACCAAAAAAAAAAAAAAAATTACCCAGGTCTCAGATGGGATGGTGGCAAACTGTCACAGAATGGTCACAAAATAACCTCACAATACTCATTAAATAGCATTTACAAGACTAAATGGGAAGTGTCGGCACTTTTGAAGCTATAGCTTTTAAAATGGAAAGATCTACACTGAAATGTTATTAATGGCTCTCTAAGAGGAAGATTTTTGTGTAAAATTTTTTGTCCCTTTTCGTGCTTCAAAAATTTTTGATACAGAATATATATTTTCTTTTTTTTTTTGGTACCAGGGATCAAACTCGGGTCCTTGCACTTGCACAGCAGGCGGCGAAACCACTGAGCTAAATCCCCGGCCCAATATATATTTTCGTAATCAGTAAATATAACTGAAAACCTTTTACCATTTCAAAATTAACATAATACGCAAATCATATTGTGTGTATTATGTTGATTTTAGTGTCTATGATTATTTAACAGATGAACAGGAATAATTCTTCTTAAGCATCAGATTTACAGGTGGAGAGTGGATTTGTATTAAAAACAAAAACAAAGTGTATCTCAACACACACACTCATTAACAGTTATGATTTTTTCACCTTCCGGCTGAGTCTACGCTTAAGTTCCATTTTGGCTTCCTGTTCTTCTTCTTCATTCTTTTCTGTTTATAGAGGGGAGAGAGGCATAATGATTTAGTTACTAATGATAATTTTATAATCAGACTATTCTATCAGGCCGCAATTATTTGACTCTAACAGAAATCAATCAAACACGCCACTAAGATCTTAAAAAAAGATGTCAACAGGTTTTTCAGAAAGACTGATCATATACATATTCACATATACAACTATGTGTATATATATGACTTTTTCCTTGTAGGATTGATTCATTTATTTTACTAATTTTAAACGTTTTGCTTTCTGACTTCCTACTATTATGAAAAGAAAAGAAATAAAAAAGAAAAAAGAAAAGAAAAATAAAAAGGAAAAGGAAAAGATCCCAAAACACAAGCATGCCCACCCTCTGGTGAAAGCCTTCTTTCTATTGCTGGCCTTCTCATGGGCCTGTAAGTACAATTTACCAGAATTCAGAGAAAACTTTAGTTCTGCATCTGGTTTCATGTGAAAAACCTGAGGCATATTAAAAGAACAAATTAGAACCATCCGATGCATGTCTGTGCTGCTGATTTCCATTCCAATCCAACCAAAATATTTGATCTGCCTTCCTCAGTTTCCATAGAAGCAGAATGTAAGCATTTCTTTGGCCTCTGCTTTCATACCAGAATGTTCCGAATGGAGTGATGGTGTACTGTGGGTGGGAATTATTTATTTTCTTGTGGCTTTAACTTTCCAAAAACTAGCATTTCACCGAATAGTACAATTTAATGCTAACAGATGGGTTTTTAAAAATGTCCACAAGTTTTAAAGAAACAAATACTGCTTTAGGCTTTATTGGTTGCTTAGCTGGGGAGCTCTGTTGCTTCCTGCAGCTTTTCATCTGTTCAATAACTGAGCATGGATTTTACCTCTTTGATGCCAATGCTTATGAAAGATATGTTGTAGAAAGTGCTATTATGAACTCTACTGAAGGAAAACCACATTTTACAACAAAAAAGCCAAAGAAGAGAAATCTCTAATATGCAAAGATAATTGTTTCTAAGAGTTCAAATAGACTTCCCAATACTAAGATTATTTTTATAAATGAAATAATATTTAATATTTGCAACTTTTGTAGTTGAACAGCCTACATTCTCTATAAATTTTTCCTTTTCTGGATAGGAAAGAGTGTTTACATTTCTCTGAAATATTGATTTTTATTAATAAGAATGGGGATAAGAAAGAGTATGATTTGATTAATAAGAAAGGTTATTAATACAGAGTGAACATAAATTGAAATTACCCACAGGACAAAAAAATACATGAAATGTCAGACAAATTTGGGTATAATTTAAATCTCTTACTATGAACATATTGTAGGTTTTCCCAATTGCTTCAAAAATGCATCTTTTCATACCATTAAAATATATACATAGTTTTAAATAATTACATGAGTTGTATAAAGCTTGTGAATTATCAATTATACATAACAGGAAAACAGGTTCTTGTGATTAAAACCAAGGCTTTAAAAGGAAAAAATTTTGATCATATTATTAATAAAAAGAAAAATATAATCCTTAACATATTTTACTGAATTCTTCCTATATAGCCATTATGCTACATTTTTAAAGATACTTTTCAAAGACAAATACTAACAATAATAAAAAAGATATCTAATATTTCCCAAAGCTAAGATATGCTGTAATTATCATTAAATATGCAAAACGTAATTTTCTCAGAGAGAATATCAGTTTTGCTTTATTAAGCACACTGCAAACTAAGTGCCAGTCAGTGATGTTTAAGAAAAAAAGGGCCAACTGCAGTTAAATAAACAGGATTTTACCATCTGGGAATCCCTTTCGGACATCAGGAACTGACTGCCTTACACTTCCCATGTTCAAAACTGTCCTTCTAACCAAGCTGGAGGAGGGGGGCGAGAGGTGGAGATACAGCAACCTCACTACTCCTCTGCATCTTCTTAAATAGTCACGTAAAATCTCTTACAAAGAGTCCAGATTAAACTGAACAGTGGTATTTAAAATTGCACGGAGTTTTTCTGTTTCAACTATTATCATTTTTTCTTAACACCGAGGATTGATCTCAGGGCCTTCACAATGAGACCGAGTCTCGCTAAGTCACCCAGGCTAGGCACAAACTTGCGACCCTTCTGCATCTGCCTCTGCCTCCCAGAGTGCCAGGGTTACAAGTGTGCACCATTTCTCCCAGCTTCTATTTCTTTTTAATTCATTAGACAATGAATTATAAGGTAGGATGTAGACTTTTGTGGGCCCTTTAAAGAGACTGAAGGGATATTCATGAAGGAAGAGGCACAGCTCATTGATAAACTTCGTTCTCAGTACCTCACTCAGAGGGGTGGACAATTGCGGAGTAACCAGGAAGCATTTCCCATAAACACAAAAACAATGCCTGTGGCTTAATAGCAGCACACACCACAGGAAACCTGCCTGGCTAGCCGGTGCTGCCCTGACATTTTATAGATGAGCTAAAAGAGAAAGCATGGCAATATCAGCAACTGGAGTATTACATATTCTCCAGTCATCAATTCAGATAATTGTGCTCACATGAAGCCATATGCTTGTGGGTTTGTTTCTCTTTTTGCTGTCTTACATTATTTCCATGAGGGTGTTTTTTTTTTTTTTTTTGGTCTGTTTGTTTTTGTTTTTTGTTTGTTTTCAGTACTGGGGATTGAACCCAGGGCCTTTGTACTGAGCTACACCCCCAGCCTTATCCTAAACAACTCAGGGCAATCCTCCTGCCTCAGCCTCCCAAGTGCTGAGATTACAGGCGCACACCACCAGCATTGGCTAAAGTATGAGTCCTTGAAAACCACACTATCACATACAGATTTTTTTTCAAATAATCAATCATGTTGCTTTTGAACAAGAGCTGGAGAAGGAACATACAAGCAAGAGCAGTCTACGTAGAAGAATCCAGAGGCAACTGAGCTGAGTGCCATGTCTGTAAGCAAAGCAGTTCTGCTGCTTGTGACTGCAGAGCAGACAGCCTGGGAAAGTGGGTGGAAAGAGCCTCCCCCTTTCGTCTGCTTCCCCTGGCCACACATTCCTGTGTCAGGAGACCCTTGCCAGTTACCGCCTCTCCAGACTGGAAATGTGCCTCTCGCTTCCAGAATCAACATGAACTCAGAAGGAAGTGAAAAAGGCCCGGAGTCAAGTCTGAAGTTGACTTTGGTGTTTTACTCATTCCTGCCCCTCCAGGAAAACAGGGTATTCGGGCCAACACAGCACTTAAGATCAACATGCAATAAATTTCTGGATCCATGAAACAGTTCCTCAAATAACCAAACTCCAGTGTGCTTGGCACCTTCATCTCACAGGAGCAGGGAGAATCACCCAGAATTCACTCTCCCCCTTTTTCCCATAGGTACTGCCTCGGGCATCGAATAAGACCTCCTCTCTGGGTATGGAGCATACTCTGCATTTGAGCTCACTTAAAATTTAATTCAATAAATAGCTCTCAGGACCCCATTATTGAAAGCAACGAAGCTTTGGGGTTTTTCTTGGTTGTCAAAATTAGATGTTGCTTTCATTGTTCCTCAGAAAAGCTAAAACACACGTTGATCCCACACGTTGATCTCTCTTTTCTAGCCATGACTTTCCTCTTTCAGGCCGGCACTTCTACACACTGACAGACACCCAAATCTTTCCTTGGGTTGTATTTCACTTAAGATCAAAAACAGTCAGAAAAAAAAAGCCTTGTGAGGAAAAATGATCCCACAGATTGGGTAGCTGGTGCTCCTCCCACTGCAAAATCCACATTATTGGGTTGCTTTAGTTATGGTAACTGTTGTAAAATATGGGTCATCAGGAGGCCATGTGAACCCTGCAAGCCTGTTGGAAAGGATTTCCCTCTGGCCAGTGGCTGGTCATATTGTAGTTAGTGCTACCTGCAGTTCTGCCAATCTCTGTTCTTCAGTATTTCCTGTAATAGAAAAGCTCTTTTGAAACTGGGTTAATAGAAAAAACTACAGCCAGGCTCCATTTGAAATTATCTACTCTTAATTCACATCGATATTTGATGGCATGACAAACTGCATTTCTATTGAGCTTTATTATATACTACCCTGCAAATGAGACTAGAAAGAAAGACAGAATGGAAAAATTAAGTAGGAAAATGAATGGAGAACTCTTTAAGTGCTGAAAAACTATAACTCAAGAGGGAACCAGAGTTATCATAATAAAGGAAAATGAAATGGACTCAAAAATTCCTCTCACCAGAATTTTGTTTTAAACTGAGTAGTTTGTTAAACCTAGCAACAAATTGTATTATTACTAATAATATAGGAATGTTTATTTCCTTGTAGATTCTTTGATCTTTTATCTTTCCCAGAAACAATGGTTATGACCACAACTCCAGTGTGGGGGATATCTGGCTCAAAACTACAAAATGGAATCTAAAATTCAAGAAATTATTTTTAAAATCAGAACAACATCTACATATAACATAAATGGGCCATTTCAGTCAGTTGTGAGTGAACTAAAGTGTTACGGTCTCCTCCTCTGAAGCAGCCTAATAGTTCCCAGAGGAGTCATCGTCTAGTATGGGACACTCACGTTTTAGGATATTTCTTTGCTCCAATTCTTCCGTTGTGGGCCTTTGGCTGAGTCTCCTAGGATGACAAAAAGTACACTATGCATTACAAATGAGTTTCTTTTAGTGGGAGACACAAAATAAAATAACAGATAAATTTTTTTTTTTTTTGGCACCGGGGACTGAACTCAGGACCTTGCACTTGTAAGGCAGGTGGCAGAAACACTGAGCTAAACCCCCAGCCCAAAGCTAGATTTTCTTTATGTTTGGAGAAATAAATATCCATTTTAAACCAATAAAACAAAACTTTCCTTTCCATCAGTTTGGAGACTCCACACTGTGGCCGAGACTGTGAACTATCCCCCATTGTCCATCCTTCCTCTTTGTCTTAGAGACAGAACTGAGTCTGAACTGGGCACCTGCTGGCCAGGTTTGGTGATGTGACTACAGTTTTGCAATGGGACACAAGAAAGGTGACGTTTGTAAGTTCTGCCGTTCACCCTTAAAATGACTGTGTGTTCTCTTCTTTCTCCTTTCTTCTTCCTCAGGCTACAACGTGGATGTGGTGCGCGAACCATGCAGGTCTACAGGCTAGAGCTTAAACATGGTGGCGGGAACCAGCTTTGACCATGCAGATGAGACTACTCAAGGGGACACATGAAATGAAACCTGGGTGCTAGGGTGGCTTCTGGGAGTTGGGTTCTGCACCCACACTGGATAGCTCAACCACCTCTGGGCTGTTAGGTGGAAAAGAAAGAAAGACACCTTATTTGAACCTTTGTACTTGCTGGTCTGTCACAGAGGCTTGGCAGCTGATAGCCCAATTAATATGCAGGTCATTCAGGTCTAAAACTGGTCACTCTCAAGAGTTCATGCCAATTCAGGAATCACTCAGTCTATGCTCAGTGTTTAAGTGACATGCTGCTTCAGGAACCTCAAATGAATACATGATACAAAATTAACTGAGACAGAAAGTACCTTCTCCTCTACCTTTAAAATAACTGAGATTTGTTTGGGATTAATAGTTATCTATTGGTACACAAGCGCAGAAGGTCCTAATAACCCTTTGTAACTTTGTTCTTGGTTCTCTTTACATGATTGATTTGTTATTAATTACAATGGAAAACTTCTCTAGTCTGCAGGCTAAATCTGTGCAGTTCACGCTAACAGATACGAAAGGTAATATAAGATACTACCAATTCAAAATGCTGTGACTATGACAGCAATGGTCTGAAGGATTGATAGGAATGATATTTTACTATTATTTTTTGGGGGGGGTACCAGGGATTGAACTTGGGACCTTGCGCTTGTGAGGCAGGTGGCAGAACCACTGAGCTAAATCCCTGGCCCAGGAGTGATATTTTAAATGTCTCATTAAGATTTTGTTAAAGATCAATCTTCATCAGAGCTACCTTGATATCATATTGAGTAACTGAGCCCACAGAGAACCCAGGGAATACCTCTGCCTCCATTCATCAGGTTCTGTGCCCTCCATACTCATGTACACTGTATGGCATGTCTGCATGGTCAATGTATTGGATGCTATTTTCTGCCTCAGATGTACCATCCCTCTTTTTTTTATGGCCTTTCCTTCTGGACTATCTTCCTCTCCTTCCTCATCCACTGAAATCTTACAAATGACTAAAACAGTACCTTGAAGGTAGGTGTTTGACCGTCCTTGTAGTAAGAAGTCAAATCTGTTACTCTGTCCAGATAAAATGTCTGTACACAACTATGCTTGTACTAAAGGACTTATACATTTTGGATAATTATAAAGATCATCACAGCTACTTTTTATTTATACTTTTAAAGTCCCTGGCATTGTGCTAGGTGCTTCACTTACAAAACTATTCAGCAAGGTTGCAGCCAGCTCCCATTTAGTAGATGAAGAAATGAGAGACTACTTAACATCCCTGAGATAAAACACTAGTGAATGCTAGAGCCAATATCCCTACCTACATTTTTTGACTTAGATATTTGCTTCCTAAAACTGGAAGTGTGGATAAGATATCTTTGAATGACAGATATTAGTTATGTCCTTGAAAAACAATTACATAAAATTTACATATTAATAACCATAAAAATTTTTATACATAGAGTCTATGTATATATTTACAAAGGCTTTCAAATTTTTGGGGTTGCCATAGAATCCTAATTCATTTGGATAGTTAAGACTTGGGACAGAGAATTTCCCCACCCACCCACCCATTCCCAATAAACACCTACACTTCCCTGGCGCCCCCTAGGGGACATCCGGGAACTCTTGATGAAGCAGTTAGAAAACTGATGCTCTTTCAGATTCCATGGTGTCAATTTTTCACGATGCTTTTTTTTGGTACCAGGGATCAAACTTGGGACCTTGTACTTGTGAAGCAGGTGGTGAAACCACTAAGTTAAATCCCCAGCCCCACGCTGCTTTATATCAATCCCATTTTTAGCATTCGGTTTAATTTGTCATAATAAACATTCTTGTAAAACAAAATTATAAAAAAATCTTTTTGAATTATTTCCTCTTTTATAGCCCCCTCAATGGATTAACATGCAAAGAAGAAAGACTGCTTTATGGTGGTTCTCTTGTCCTATTGTTAAACTGCTCTTCAGAAATACCGAGCAAGGACAATGTATGCATGTCCTCTTTTCTCATAAACTTGCCAACACTGGCTTTAATTTTAAAATGTGCTTTACTTGTTTAAAGATGTGTAACAGCTTAAATTAATAGTAAGAAATATTTAATTTTATCAACTGCTTGCTGTGACACAGGCACTAAAGGACCATAGCGAACCATCTCATTTACCCCACATAAGCTCTGGGATAGCTGTTTTCCAGGTGGGGCGGAACAAGGGCTCTCTCCTGCCTTGTTTTAGATACTGTATTTCTGCCAATATTTTTGCCAGTTCTGGATAAGCTCACACCATGACTTTGTTGCCAGTGCCCTCAAATCCAGGCAAGTGCTCTACCACTGAGCTGCATCCTGGCCCACACACTTGGATTCTGAACAGCCATGTTTCTCATTCAGTGCATCACAGCCTCAAACGTCTTCCACACCTGCTGCACAGGGTCCCTCACCCTGTCTCGGTGAGTGATTTTCCTTTGGCCTGTGCTGGAAGAGATGACATTTATTTCTGCGTGGTTTCATTATTTGTTACTGATGCCCTGGTTCTCTACTGCACACCTATTACCTGCACATCTCTTATCCTTCAAGCTTCATGCCATGCACACATCTGATAACCCTGGTTGTTGGATGTTCCTCATTGATAGAAATGTTTACTCCTTGTCTTTCTCCACTTCTTCATTTCTTCCATCATAGTTTTCTGGAAATGGATTTCTTGGCCCTTGCATTAAATGAATAGTTGAGTATTTAAAATATAGTTGTTGCTACTAGTGTGAATGCAACTCTCGTGTTCATTGTATTCTCTTGCTATATGTCAATGATAACATAAATATAAATATACTGATTTTTATAGATCTTACATCTGTGAACCTGCTGATATTATTATGTAGCAATTTTTGGTTAGTGTCAGAGTGTTCTAGGTATATAACTATATATAATATCAATATTTCTGGCCTATAATTTATTCCTTTTATTACTGAAAACATTTCTGACTAGACTTAGTACACGAAGGGTGGGGAACCTTTGTTCACTTCTATTTCTCTAGGAAGTGATTTTAGTGTTTCTCCATATACTAAAATGTTCAGCATAATTTAAAAAACACTTCTGATTAGTTTAGGATTTTAATAAAATAACACAAAATTTTCTTTAATGCCACCTTGACATGCATTAAGATGGGTATATGCTTCTTTACTTTTTTATCCCTTGCTACACTGAACTATAATGATATTCTTTAGTGTTAAGGAATACATGCTATTTGCATTATTCTTATACGCAAATATTCAATTGCTTAAATTCTGATTCACAGAAAGGGCAAAAAAAAAAGTAATGAAAAAACTTAGACGCATACACCTCTGTTACATGGTATAAAAAGTATAAATTAGGAGACTATAAAAGAAAGAAGACTGGGCAGAGAGCGCGGGAACAGAAACTCTAGCCCTGGTTCTGATACTAGGTAACTGCTCACCCCTCGGAAATTTCCTTCATCTCCCTGGGCTCAGCAGGCTGCCATTTTCACTTGGCAAGATGAAGAGTTAGATGTGTAAGGTCTTTTGAATTTGAATCCTTTAGTCCCCTTCAGTCTTCTTTATACCAATACTAGCTCTTTCTTGAAGTTGGCAATGGTAAAGTTTAGGGCTGAAGTGAAAGACAGAGCCCACTGGTAAACCCCTCGAAGGTTCTCCCAGAGTACTGGGGAGAATTCCACAGCAGGGGGACCCTTGGCCTCTTCCAAGCTTCCCCTCAGACAGCTGCTGACTCTGACATCTTCCTCCAGGTCTCACACAGGAAGGTCCCTGGGGCTCGTCTTCCTGTGGAGGAACAGCCCACAGCCTACAGAAGTCTTGTGCCCACTGAACAGGGATGCCCTGGTCATACAAGCCTTCTACTACCAGGCAAAGATAACAGCTTCCTCCCACCTCCAAACCCTGTTCTTGGATTCCAGACTGCTTCCTTCTCCCAATTATGCACCCAGTGCACACACACAGTGGGAGAAGTTGGCAGAATGACAGTACCTGCATGTGCTTAAACTGACCATCAAAATCAAGAGCTTTGGTGGGAATGCTCACTTCTATCAAACTGTCTGTTAAATGTACCTCTAAAGTCACATGTGGCAAAAGCAGAAATCCTACACAATAGGAGGAGATGTCGGATAATCCACTGGGTTCAAGTTAAAAGTGGAAGGTTTTGCTAGGGGCTACGGTTTCCTGTCTTGGATGAAGCCAGGTCACTAGGCTCACAGCCCATGGGGCAGAAGCTCACGGCATTCACAGGAAGAGGTCATGGGATGGTCAACCAATCTGCTGGTCTGTGGGCCAAATCTTGTGTGCCACATTTTTAATAAAGTTTTATTGGAACACAGCCACATTCATCTGTTTATACATTATTTATGTCTGCTTTCATATTCCTGTAACAGCACAGTTAAGTAGCTGCAACAGACATTGCCTGGCCCAGCAAAGCTGAAAATAGCCAAATCAGATCTTTGTATTAAAATTGTTGACCTCTGTAGTGGTGCAGATTTGGGTGACCTGTGAGCCACCAGGCTAGCTGACCAAAGGGCAGGTTCTCGGAGCGGTTCACCATCCAAGACCAACTTTAAAAGGCCTGATGGGCCAAGGGCACCCGAACACAAGGAACTCACAGTGATCCCAGTAATGCCACCTCGGAAGGAAACCTGAGGAGAAAGCCAAGTGTGAAGTACTAAGTGCTGCCCTAAGTGCCAGCAATTACCTCACCAGCTTGGTTCCAATTTGCTGTCGGATTTCCTGCCTCTCTTCTTCAGATGTTCGCTGCAAGATGTTTTTGTCCTCTAACTCTTTCTTCGATGGTCTGTTGCCAAGCTTGATGGCAAGAGTATCCCTTCGTCGTATCTTACTGGCCAAAGCACCTGAGGATTAAAAAAGGCAGAAATGCAGATAAAGCAGCTTTTGGCCAGCAGCATACATGTTACTCCTGGCACAGATTTTAAATAGGACACAGGTGGAATCCTTCATACACATGCAAGAGGGGAATCTTAACTGACCTAAGGGAACAGAGATTGTGAGTTGGATGTAGTTCATTTTGAAAAAAAAATGAAGAACTATTTTTCAATTGTTCTGAAAAACAGTGGAACACCACATAAAAACTTTGAAGTATCACCTCAACATTTGGAAAGAGACAGTTGAAGTTTATTTTCCTGATATAGTAGATTGTGGAAATTACTGATGGCACAATGGCTTTTCTTTTTCAAGTTTGAAAAAGTTATTCCCTTTCCTTATCCTGTACAGTTAATCCTTGTCTTTTCCTTTCCTCTACTTCAACATCCTGCTGGCAAACAGTCTACTGATTATACTAATGTTTAACCCCTGTTAATGAGGAGCCTTTAAAATATCTTCCCAGGGGCTGAGATGTAGCTCTATGGTAGCATACTTTCCTAGCCTGCACAAGGCTCTGGGTTCAACTCCCACTACCATCAAAACAAAACAAAACAAAACAAAACAAAAACTCTGCCAAATAGATGACAATCATTTATTTATTTTGGCTCTGTACAAGTTAGAGGGAATTTGACAAACTTCTGTTTCATCATTACCCAGTAATAACTTTTCACAGTGTATAAATCCCTCCCAAGCCATTCTGCTCAAAAGTTTTAAAATGTAATGGTACATTCTAATTCTCTCAGTTACACATAAATGGCGAACTCTGCCCCACTTTAGTACCGTTTCTTCCTAGATCCTGTCCTACCTTTCAGGGATGAGTGATTTTTTGTTGTTGTTGTTTTCTTTTGGTACCAGGAATCGAATTCAGGACCTTGCACTTGAAAGGCAGGCATGGTGCCACTGAGCTAAATCCCTGGTCTGAGTGATTGTTTTTAATGCTAAAAAGGTATCTGTCCATTGAGAATTCCTCTCAATCCAAAAAGAAATCCTTCTTCATTTTAGTGGGAGTGGTATGACTGTGGGACTCAGTAAGGAGATTCCTCAAAAAACTAAAACTAGAGGTTCCATTTGACCCATCTATTCCCCTTCTAAGTACTTTCCCCAGAGTTAAAGATATCATACCACAGTGATATATGAATACCTGTGAATTGTGCTGCATAATTCATAACAGAAAATCTTGGAAGCAGCCTATAGGTCCATCCACAGATGAAAAGATAAAGAAAATGTGGTGCAGTGTTTATACACAAAAGAGTACTACTCTGCCATAAAGAAAGATAAACTTGAGTCATTTGTAGGAAAATGGATGCACCTTGAGACCATAATGTTAAGTGAAGTAAATCAGACATATAACTTAAATATTGCAGTTTCTCTTATGTGAGAAACTCAATATGTAAATAAAGTATAAAATAAAAGACAGACAATAGGAAAAAAGAGACAACAAAGTTATTGTAATCCAGCATGGATAATGTATCAAAAGTGTACCTTAACTTAGTGTAATTATATTATGTGTTTTATGTTTTTTAACCTGTTAATCTATATGTATGATAATTAACTTTATAAGGACTTATAAGATAAATCAATGAATGTGATGCTGGTTAAAAAAAAAAAAAAAGAGGGATGGGCCAGGGATTTAGCTCAGTGGTTCCGGCGCCTGCCTCGCAAGCGCAAGGTTCTTAGTTTGATCCCTGGGACCAAAAAAAAAGAGGGAGAAGCGAAGGGGAAAAAATGGATTAGATGTGTTATGTACATGTGCCAATTCTCTATGATGAATGCAATCATCATGTCCTGCAAACATGAAGTAATAAAAATTTTAAAATTAAAAAAATAAAAAGGTATTTGTCATTTCTGAATATTCCTCTCCTCTCTTTAAACTTGTAAAAACGTGAGTGCAGTTCTCTGACACTGTGCTGAGCAAAATCAAGGCCTCCTGCTTGATGCTCTTTCTCCATGAACAACCTGGAGTGGAAGGGCCACCTCTGATCTTCCGGAGTGAGGCCTCTCTCATTAGAAAGCTTTCATTCTCTGTGTAACACAAATCTGCACTTCTACTTTCTCCGAGAAGGCCTGACCTACCCCTGTGGCCTCATCTTCTGGAAAGGCCTGTCCTCTCCAGCTCAACTTCGGGGCAGCCACATTTCTCATTTGAGAAAGAAAGATGAGGGGAAGAAAGCATCAGGTTGCTGACTGATGAGGCTCTTCCTTTTACAACACGCAGCTGCTTCTGCCCACCACCCTACTTCCCGAGAGGGCCTTACTTTCTCCACCGCCGTCCTCGTCCTCATCTTCTTCCTCGTCATCGTCAGTGTACAAGATGGGCCCGTCTGAGTCGGAGTCGTTGGCCTGGTACTCCCTGGTTCCTTCGTCCTCAGGAGCACTGAGGGACTCTGAAGATTCTCCCATCAGCCCCGGGGTCAGCAGCTGAGGGGCTGCCTTCTCCAGCTCGTCTTTGGTTATAAAACTGTTCAGGGAAGAAAAACACAGGGTGGACATAAGGCTCAGAGCAACCCTTGGGGACACCAACACCAAGAAAGGACCTCAGTGTCACAGACACCATTCAGGTTGGGAAAGGAGAAACCAAACGTAGGGCAACTAACGCCGCTGAAGTGGCAAGGCTGTGCTGTGGGACTTCATTCCCAAGGTTTTACATTCTCCCTCTGTAAAACCAAAAAGCTGCACTAGGTGGTGTCTGATACAGTTAGTAAATGGACATGGTGAAAGTACTTTGCAAATTTATTTGTCCATAGCAAAGGGGTGTGGTGAAAGGAATGGACTAGCTCCTGAATATCTGACTTGATCTGCACTTTTTGCTTGCCCTTCAAGTCTCTGTTAAAGCCTCCGCTCCTTCAGAAATCTTTCCTGGGCCTTCCATTGAGTTCCTGCCTGTTCCCAGGGTGACTGGAAGACGACGCCGTTCGAGTTCTCAGCTCTCTGCCCCTTGAGCATCCCTCACTAGTCGGCCATCTTGAGACCCACAAGGCCCTTAGCGAGGGGGACTTCTACTATTTCGCATCCCAGCACCCAGGAGGGTAGTGGTGCAGAGGAGGGCATCATCTGTCATTAAAATATGTATAAATCTCATTTTCCTCCCAAAGTCATTCATCCTTTCTATGCTTTTTTTTTTTTTTTTTTGGTATTGGTGATTGAACTCGGGACCTTGGGCTTGCAAGGCCGGCAGCAGAACCACTGAAGTAAATCCCCCCACCCCGCTTCTGTTTTTTCATTTGTATAGCTGCTTCTCAATGGATTAAAGTACTAACATGAAACAGGAAATGTAAAAGTTAAAGGAGCTCTTTGGAAGAAAGGTGATGTACACAGACACAATAATTTTCTATTATTTAATACCTAAGTAAGAGTCTCTGGTTGAAGGAGTTATTCTAATATACAAAGCTTGTAACCTTCCAAAGATTAGGATAAAAAGTATACAGACATCAAAAATCTTTCACATCAGGCAGATGCGGTGGCGCATGCCCTGAGTTTGAGGCCAGCCTTGGCCTTAAAGTTCAAAGTCAGCCTAGACTGCATAGTTTTGCTTATCCATTCATTAGTCAGTGGATATTTGGGTTGTTTCCACCTTTAGGCTATTAAACATAATGCTATGAACACGTATATTAATTAAATTTCCTTTCAATTCTTCTGGTTGTTATGCAGAATGGGAATTGCAGATTCATATGGTGTGATCCTATGTTTAATATTCTGAGAAACCATTATATTGTCTTCCATAGGGGGAAATCTTATCTTAAAGAAGAGAAGACTTATTTTTATGGGAAAACTTTTCCAGTTTTCAGTTGGTTGCCACTGGAAACCAATCTTGTTTGAAAAGACTGTCACGCTGGGTGACCACAGCATGTTTGAAGCATATGCCAATCAATAATTACTTCTGCAAACAGCAGAACAAAAGATACTTTGGAGTTGAGGCTTGTTATCTGTGTCACTGTTCACAAACTTCTTATGATACTGATTGGTTTTAATCTGTTTGTATTTGATAACATTTTACAGTTTGCCAAGAGCTCGGCATACACGTACAACCTGCAAATGTACTGAGAGGTAAGGCCAGGTGCTTTACAGCTCATGGATCCAAGGAAGAGCATTAGTGAGTTGCCCAACCAAGGCGGCAGCTCCAGGCTAGAACCCAGATTGAAGACTCTTACTCTACTTAGCAAATATTACATTTTCTTTTATACTTATAAATTTTATGAATGCTATGCACAATATTAAATATATTCCAAATTTGTATGAGTGAACTCATGCTTTTGCCCTCATTTTTCATCCCAGAGTTCCTGGGCAGACTGAACAACAGTGCATTTCATAAATGCTTGTGAAATGTACTCAACAAGTTACCTGTAGATGTGGCCTCAAAATGGGCTCATTACTTTCAGCCTCACATTATATGTGTTGTTGGTAAAGCTGCCAACAAAAAGAAACTTCCCGAGTACTTAGCACCCTGTAATGTGGGAATAGAGGTAGATATTTTTATACACAGTCACTTGCCCTCTTTAAAGTTTTGATATTTGTATTACAAACAGAAGACTTTTCATAAAATGACAGGATTTTCACACATTAGGTGACTAAATATAACTCACAGAGAGTTCTAAGTAAAGCAAGTAACTAAGAGCTCAAAGTTCTAATTCAAATATTCACTTGAAAAGGAAGAAAGAATTTGTTAGGAAATTTGAAAGACTACTAACTCCAAGTTCATTAATTCAGGAGCGGATACTAACCACCCCAGTAGAATGAATTATAATTTAAACTTTTAATTCTGAAGAATATACAGAGAAGAACATCTCTCTGATTTCTTCTCGGAAAGCATTAGAGTTACTCTGTTAGGAAAATCTATTGTAAATATCCTGAATATCTCCAAATGTCCTAAGCTTGCTTCCTTTGATTATACTGTTGTAGAAATGGAAAACCGATGCTACTCTTTTGTCTGACAATTCTTTCCTCACTCAGGCTGAAGATGGTTGTCAGGCACCCAGCATACAGCGCGGTGCTTAGCACAATACAGTGCACTCTCTTAGGGGTGAGGCATCGTACTGGTTGGAGTTAGGTCACCTTTGGGTATGGGCTCTCTGTGTGCTTATGACTCTCTAAGGAACCATTTTACATATTATACCTTGTTCTTTAGTATGCTGAATGATGATAAGTAATCTGTAATTTGACATTTATTGAACCTTCCATGGCTTGCGTTCAAATGACTTGGCTCAAAATTTTAAAAAGTTAAACTACTAAAAAAATAACAGCAGAAGTACATGCAAACTCTTTCTGGAAAACTTACGAAATTATTCAAAGTCTGGTATTCCTGGTATAGTGCTATTGAGCTCTGCCAGGGGTAACTGGGTAATTCTGGCAATGCTAACTGTGCCAACATTAACTGGGTGAAAACTATTTTACCTCTCTCAGTACCTGTTTTCTTATCTATAAAACTGGGATACTTCAGGGAAGATTTATGTAAATTAAATGATAGCAAAAGTACAGTGCTTAGTTCCTGACATTAAGTAAGTACCTAACAAATGAAAATTTTCAGCAATTTAAAGTTAATATTTTAGTGTCTTGATCAAAACCAACCTAATTAATCTACTTTAAAAAAATTCTAACATGACACAAATTTTGAGAGCGAGCCTATTAAAACATTTGAAGATTGAACATAGGTTTATTTTCAGAATAAGGACAGAAGTTGGATTTAAGCATTCACAGCTTTTCCTAGTCAGAATTCTACTATACTCTTAAGAACCCGCCCTTCATTCTTGTGGGATAGGAGGGCTCACCTGCCTTTGAGGAGAATGTTTACAGGACTTTGTGAGTGATTAGATATAGGGAATAAAGAAGAATGATGATTGAAGGATGAACTCTGGGAGTTTGGAATGAGCAAGCAGATGGTGGGGCCACTAGCCCAAGGGAACATCCGGTTCCTTGGTCCACTCTATTTGGATACCTTCTTCAACAAAACTGAGACTTCCTGACCATGGCCTTTTATCTTATGTTATCATCTATTCATAAAAAACATCAAGCATCAAGGTTATCTTCAACACTGCTTCCACTATACTGGAGTAGGCTGACTTTCCCTACAACCGCCTTAGATCACTTTTTCATTTTTATTGAACAACGTGACACACGTCCACTGAGTGCTCCTACAGCACCCCAGACACTGTACTTGGCTGCTGGGGACACAGAGGTAAATGGGACATGTTGGTGAGTTCTGTCCACACAGAGGAGGAAAGAGGTTTTATGAGTATAGTAGATGTAATAGTCAATTCTGTCCAGGACCATTGGAAGGCTTCACAGAGTAGATGAAATTTAAGGTGGTGGAGAATTAAGGGAGCAAGAAAGGGGGTCACTGCAATTGGATGAAAAGGAGTTGGAATCTAAAATTTCTTCCTGAAAGTCTTATATTTCTTGGAGCATAAAAGTAATGCATTGAAATGAGGGTGGGCGGGAGTGGGTGAGCAATCTGGACCCAAGTGGGTTTAAAATAAGCTCTATAAGGGAAGAGAAGCAAACTGTCTAGGGATAAGAAAAAAGACTGCTAAGCTGTGCTGACACGGGCTGTATGTGTCCTTGCAAATCACAGATCTGAAGTGGCATTTGTCAGTGTTATGGGAGGGATTTCTTCCACAGTCCCCGGCATTCCCGGGGGCAGCACTCAGCAAAGCCAGTGGTTGGACTCCAGTATGCGTGCAGATTGAGCGATAAAGGAGAGCTAACTGGGTTCCTTCATTCTAACACAATACTTCAGCGAGGTTTAGAACTCAGATGGGCCTGTGGGGTCTGAGCCCCGACTCACCATTTAGCATTTTCTCTGCTAACACTCAAGCCAGCGCCTGAGTGGACAGTGGCTCTGCTGGTTGGCTCTTCGGTCCAGAGCTGACTTGGGTCTAAGGTAGAGACAGGCAGGTCAGCTCCATTGCTGACCAGAACCACAGGAGTGTCCAGGGCGACAATGCACTGATTCTCAAGGAGCAGAGGAGGGGCAGGAGGGGAAGGTGGGGCAGCCACAAGGGGTGGAGGGATGCTGGGCTTGGCTTTGCCCTTGCTCTGCTCCTCGGCCCTGGGGACAGTCTGGTCAGGTTGGAGAATCTCCGCTCTGGCCTCAGAAGGTTCTCCTTTGAGATCAGATGCACCGGTGGTCACGGTGTCTGAGGACAGTCGAGAAGCTGTTGCCTGCTTGCCAGTTTTTTTCTTGCCCTTTGTGGTCCCTACTGTCCCTGTTTTGCTAGCAACTGTTTCTTTTGAAGCTTTGGGACGAGAAGAGGTGGATGAAGTAGATGGTGAAGTAGATGCTTTGGAGCCAGTTGGTTTTTTTGAATGAGAAGAACCAGCTAAAAATAGAGAGATTTTTACATTAAAAACCAAAGAATATAATGCTTTTAAAATAAAACAATCAGGCTGCAATTGGCAGTAACATTTAAAATGCTCTTTAAAATTCGTTGGATAAATAAAAGAAAGAAAATTTGCTAACAGTGTTAACAGTCTTGTCTTCTGCCCTCTCCTAGCCTCTAATCCAGGAGGGAGGAAGTGACACAAGGGTCCAAACTAAGGGAAAAGGGTCCATTATTGTCTTCTTCATCTAATCTTTTGCTGGACCAGCTAAAGGGGAAATCCTCAGCTCTGTGTCCTATAGGTCACCGGAAAAAGCTCTTGTAGGCTCTAGAGATACTATAGTGTGGAGAAGATATCATCAGCTATGAGCCAGGTATAGTACATGATTGGGCTCTTCAGAAATTTTATGTGCTCTATGATATATTTCTGGGAATGGAGTGGTGGCTCATATTTATAAGAACCCTTCTGGGTCAAAAGCATCCCACTGCTAAAAGAGTCAAGTCAAGTCCAAATCAGCTGTTCCCAGAACTCCAGATAAAGAAGCTCACCTGCCACCTGTACTTCCTTCCACTGCATACGTGATGGATGAAAACACATGGCTGCATAGAAGCAGACCCCCTTCTAAAGGTCAAAAGGCAGGGAAATTGTATTTATTCCAAAAATATTTACATTGGTGATATCTGAATAATTCAAAGGGAAAGAACTTCTAACTTCACTTTTGCAAGTCTCATTTTCCTTACTACGCATATGATCTCCAGTGGACTGTCATGGGGTACTTGCCTACTGACAGACAGGGCTGGATCCAATCAAATATTTTCAGGAACACAAAGTTAACTGTACTCTTCTTTTTGTCATCTTAGGACACATACTCAAACTCCTGTGAGAATACTCCATTGTTTCATGGCCTTTATGTGCTATAACATCTCTGAGTTGCTTCTTCCCTCACAGTGCTGCATATTCATTCTTTCCCAGGGGTGGGAGGGTTAAACTATCTTTCACAGATTATTAGAGAAATACCTTGTTAGTACTGTGGAACCCATCTGCACTGCATACAGATGTTACAGTAACTTACCTCTGCATATAACCTCATTGAAGTCAATTAGAAGAGTCAAGAGATGAACAAATAAAAAACTAGACAATGAGATGCAAGACTTTATGAATTTCATATGCAAAAGAAGCTCATGTCAGTTAGTGCCAAGATCCAGGCTTAATAGGAGTGTCTAGCTTTGGGATCTTTACTATTTAGATATACAAAGTAGCTAGAACCCCCCTCCCCCAATCTTGACTGGTTACTATATCTTTATAGTGAACAGCCTTTACTTGCATACAAGTCAAATTCATTAAGGGAAACCTCTTTCTAAATTTAATTTTTTTTGCATCAAAGATGCTAAAAGTCAGTTATTTTCTTAGGTAAGTTAAACAGAATATCTTAAACATATGAATCTTAGTATCTTTCATTTCTAACAGAAAAGTTTAACTTTAGGTCGTCTTAAGGAAAAGGGTAATTTTTTTCAATGCCTGGAGTACAAATTCAAGCCATATTATATTTTTCTTTAATTATATTAAAAAATGACAGGACTTGGCTGAAATCAATCTTTACTTAAAAAAAATGCCACATCTCAGTTAAGAACTTCTGTTGTTTTAATAATGTATAACAGTGAGGATGAGAATAAGGGAGACTTACTCTTGCCTCCCTGGGAAAGCTGGTGACTGTTCTAATCTGACACGTGATTCTGTGGTTTAAGAACTTAACATCTGACTGAAAATCAGGAATTTGAACTAATTTTTCTAGAAGGTCAACATTATTCAAATAACATAAAGGTAGGATGCAGAAAATTGTAAGTGGATACACATGAAGCATCAGCAGGGCTCCAAGGAGTCTTATCTACACTGGATAAAAGGATTCTTGCACAATGGCCTTTTTGGTACCTTTTAATGCAAACCCTGATCCTCTGCGACAGCTCTGTGACAGTCACATTCTTACTTGTATATGGGCCTGACGCTCTTATCGGTCACATCATGGACAAAATGACTACTATTCTCTTAGGAACATCATGGGTCTATTTATAGACATGAAGAATCTATAACTGAACACTCAAGTAAAATATCTGGAAATAACTCAAAGATCTGTCATGAAAGCTGTCCCCTACCCTTACATTCCTTGCCAGCCTCTTCTGAGAGTCTTAGCTAAGTCCACAGTGAACCCCTATCATGTGCGGAAAGAGGAAGTGGGTCGCTTGCGCAAGGCAGGATCTCAATTCCCAAGGGCAGACTGATAGTTTGGGACTTTCCTCTAAGAAGTAGCTCAGTGTCAGCCTCACTCCAGGTATTGCTCCTGGACTTGGCCAGGTGGTCTGGGGAACACACACCAACAACAAGCTAGGACACTGAGGCAGGAAGGAGTTAGTCCTTGAGGAGATGGTCCCCAGGCACTGCAGATACATAATTCTGAGACATTTCATTTTAAAGCTGAGTAGAAGAGACTCAGACCCAAACGTCAAAGGCAGGAAGAAAGGATCCCAGGGAGAAGGATCTATCTGCGTTCAGAGACACTATGAACTAAACCATTTTCTGAATTTCTGAACTACAAGGAGAGAAAATATGAGCACCAAGGAAAACCCTGGTAAGCAATTGCTAGGAAATTGCTATTGATTTTAAGAAAAACAATACTTGTTAGAGTACAGGAGAATTTTTATGCATGATTAGTGTCCTTTTGAAGACCAGATGACATGTAGGCATCTGTATTCTGTGCTTCACTAGAACAGGGGAGTCATTAAAGTATCCACCTGGAAAGGAAAGCTAGATGACCAATACATAAAGTTACAAACAATGGGAAAGTCAAACATCCACTGGTGATCTGTAGAGGAAATTTGTAACCACAACACCCAAGGATGCTTTGCCTTAAAACAAACTGAAGTCTACTGAGAGGAATGCAGCAAAGCAAGTACTGAGAATCTAACTTTTAACCCCACTGACACTGTTTTGACTGAAGTGGGGTGGAGCTGAACCATGACGTTGGTCATTTATCAGAAAAGAGATGACTATGGATGCTGTAAGATTTAACCACTATAATCCAGCAAAGATGTCAGAGACAAGCCATATTCTTACATGAATCTAAGATATTTTGAATGCAAACCCAAATGAAAAATCATACATAAACTCTAGCAGGCAGAAGATCCATCATTATCTAAATAATGTTGCATCAGGTCACCACCTTTCATAGGGCATGCTACGCCCTGTATTCTTCCACTGGGTCTCATGTGCCAAGAGTGGGCACCAAGATGAAGGGAGTATATTTACCCAACCAGATGAACTAAGCAATGGGCTGACTTGCCTTCAGTGGACAGCTACAAAGGAATCTCCTGGTATTCTTTTGTTTAACTTTTATTTTTAGTGGTATAGATTTGGGCAATACACAGTGACTATATCCATTGCGGGGACCTGGGCCACATAGATAGCACATCTTAATTCTTTTTAAATCCCTTTCCTTCCTCCCCTCCATGTCTTGGTCCCCTTCCCATTTGCAAAAGATCGCTTTCTTTCCTATTATCTATCTTTTATTTTGCTCTTTAATTTATTTAGACTTTGGGTTTCTCATATAAGAGAAACTATGTGACATTTAAGCTTGTGCATCTGATTTATTTCACTTAACATTATGATCTCAAGGTGCATCCATTTGCCTACAAATGACTCAACTTTATCCTTGTTCATAGCAGAGCAGCGCTCCACTGTGCTTGTCAGAGCTGAATCCACTGGTGTAGCACCTTAAAACACCAAAAGTCCTCCACTCCTCAAAGAACAGTTAGCCCCTCCCGGAGCTGAGCCCCCTGGACTCAGCCCCACCATGCACTGGGGGTGTACTCACCAGACGCTTGGGTCGTGTTTCGGCTTGGTGGCTTGGGTGGAGGGACAGGGACCTGCTTACCGGGAGCCTTGGCATTTTTTTTACTAGGAAGCACTTCGTCACCTTTGTGGCCGGGCCCAGCAGTGGCCCCTTTGGGAGGCACAGGTGATTTTTTGGGTTTAGGTTTGGGTTTAGGCTTAGGAGGAGCTGGAGGAGGTAGAGCAGGTGCTGCCGGTGTTTCAGAGAGGTTTTCAGTGTTCTCTACAAATGAGAAAGTGAACAGAGCAAACTGATAGACACACACCACATGAACGGCAGGAGCAAGACACGGTAACAGAGGCACACACACATGGAGCTGCTTGGCCCTTAGAAGCCAGAGGGACTTCTGCACCAGAGAAAGCCAAGTCTTGCGTAAAACCAAAGGCTGAAACACAAACTGAAGTGTATTCGCTGGGCCCATCAATCATTCCTTTAATTAAAAAAAGTGACACGATGACTCTGACGAAGTTACACTGAGGATGAGTGAACGTGCACAAGTCAGAGGCACTGAGTCCAGCCTCACACCTGTGGTTGCTAGGTGATGGCATGGGCACTGAGTGCTAATTAGAACAAATTGAATAATGTAGCAAAACTGTAGGGCACGCGAAAGTGGCAGGTGTGTGTGTCACAGACACGGCCAGGGCATGGGGATTTAGAGCCACAGCAATGACAAGACGCACACTCACCTCCCAGAACTTGGGCCCAATCAACTTGAAAGGGCTTTGTGTTCCATCTCAGTGTGGACAAAAAGCAGTGCTGTTCTAAGCTACGGGAGACTCAAGTGCATCTCTGACACAAGGTATAGTGCCCAGAGCAATGAGCCACTTTCTACTACAAAATGTTCTGTTCTCCAGCTCTCTCCCCGTGCCAGGGCAGCTTCCTGCTCTCCAGTAACTTCTGCTGCCCTTTTAAATTAGCGCCACTCTGTGGGGTACAGAACCCAGGAAAGATTCTCTTTGTTTTGTAATGTAACACAAATAGTGATTTTGAAAAGACAAAGGCTAAAATTCATAGCAAAAAATGTGTACCTAAGCACTCACAGAAGCCTCCACAGGTTCTGTATGACTGGACGAGATATAGCAATTCACTGCTCATTAAAGAAAGTGGAGATAAGGACCCGAGTTCGATCCCCGGTACCAAAAAAAAAAAGAAAGTGGAGATGCCAAAGGGTCACTCATATATTCACATCTGTATTGTTTTGTACTAGTGATTGTTTACAATAAATTAAAAAATGGTTCTGTTTCAAAGGGCTAAGCAGCATTTCTTTAAAAATGGAGCACAATACAAAAATGTAAGACAGTGTTAGGACCAGACTTAGCCTTTATTGGATACATCTTCGCATGTTTAAATGATCAAAGAAAGGGTTTTAACATCGGCAAGTTATATATTTTATTGTCATTTTTTTGTTATCCTAGTGAGTGTGAAATGAGGACTTCCTTTTTTCTAACTCATCTGCTAATCAAACTACATACTAATGGTATTTGCCATACTAATGGTTTAAGTTACAGAAGCTAATCAATAAAACTTGTAAAGTTCCTCACCCATGAAACCCTCCCCAGTCCCTGTATTCCAGAGTGACCTCTTTCCCTTCCATTCTTATTCAGCCTTAGTGCATGAGACACTTTTTCAACACTCAACAGAGGCCACGTTGTACTTCTGCCTTTCTGTTTATGCATCTTCTCACCTCCACTAAGCCGCTCAGAGTTTATATTACAGTAGTATCCTCCTAACCTACTTGATGTGAACCGGAGGCAAGTTATCACCAAAGTCCATTAGGATTGAGAATGATGCTAGTTGACACACAGATAGAACATTAAATTTTAACATAAAATATAAAGCATACATTGACTTGCCGGTTTTTCTGCATAGAAGGGAAGCTTGTCCTTTAAATACTACTATGTCTTTGTAATGTTAGCTTCTAGTGCATTACCTCGCATGGAGACCCAGCCCAGTGATATTGTCCAAGGGAGAGCAAAGTGGTTTGTGGCAGTTAGCATCTTAATTTCTTTCCATACTGAAAGCCCTCTGAGTCTCATCTTTCCCCTTCATGACATATTACAGGGGGACCTTTCTGGTTTTTGCTCAAGCTTTTAAATTCTGAAATTATACCAAAGATAGGCTGAGGATGTAGCTTAATGGTAAAGCACACACTTAGCACATACAAGGCCCTGGGTTCAATCCCTAGCACCACCAACACATAAAAATAAAATAAGTGAAATAAAATCCCAAGGAATTCAGCTTTTGGGTCTGGGACAGAAGAGACACTTTACTCTGTGACAGCTGGGAATCAGGAGGTAAAAATGGACACACTGAACACGAACTCTGCTGGCTTGTTGGAAAGCATGGGCCACCTCCCTCTGCTCTTTGGATTCTACCAGTTACGTGTGAGTGTGGCCACGTTGCGGAGACCTTAGTAGTGTTTGTGCCTTCGTGTGCATATGTGCACACATGCATGAGTATGCAATCAGTAAGATTTTCTGGCTAAATGAAAACCTCTTTTGATTTATGAGTGACACTCTTTTTCGTCTCAGGAGATGGCTTCCATACCTAGTACTTCTCTTCATTGTCAGCATGGTTCTGTGTGGGTTTTGTCCACACAACATGAAGAAGCCACACTGCCTTATTAGGGGCACACCAGCACCGAAGGCATCTCCAACTCCTCATGCACTGGTTAGTCAACCAAGATACTATCTTGGACCTTGTTTGATCAGATAGAACAGACTGTACTAATTTGAAATGAGGAATAAGAAGACAAAAATATCTGTCACCCACTCATGGGCCTATGAGATCTATCATCTTTTGAGAACACCATGGCCTATTGGTTTAAGGATCATAAACCTGTCAGCAGTTTTTTATTAGGTTGATAAGGGAAACACTTCCTTTGAAGTCTAGCCAGTCAGTGAGTGACAATGACACCCACACTGACCAAGGACCAACCACAGGTGGATTTGAAATTTAACATTTGGTAATACAGGACAGTTGGACTTAAAAAACAAAAAACATTACCCCACTAGCATTAATCCCTTTAATATTTAAGTGTACTTTCTCCTTATGGTCCAGAAATATTATTATTAATAGAATTAGTTAATTTCTCATCATCAGTGTTCATAAGCTTAACTAGTGTGCTTCAATGTAATAAAACTAAGTAATGTTCCATGAATACTGTGCTTAATATTAAAAGAAAACAAAATAATAAATTTCCAACAGATCATTAAGATAAGCTCTAAAGCTATTAAAACTAACATATGCAAATAAGTAAGTGATGGTGGACTTAATTTTAAGTTATCAGATCTAATAAAGCTATCAAAAGGTCTTTTGTTTTCTTTGTCTTTGGAGGATTTAGGTCAAGAAAAGTTCACTTGTGCAGTTTCTAAAGTTATCAAAATACCTACAAAACCCAAAGAAGGTCTGACAAATTTTTGCCATCCTACTCAGAGGCAGAACGTACAGAAGAGGAAATAGTCTATTCCCTGAGGATTCCTTTCAGTGTAGCATGGAGTCACCTAGAAAGTCCCAGTAAAACCTCTTCGTGAGAGATTTCAGTTTAAGGTTTGCATAAGTGACGCTCTGGGCGTCTTTGATAGACATACATTTTGCAGGCACATATTCAATCCAGAAACCAAGGTCCCTGAAGAAGCCTATGGGGCTTGGCTCATTTTGAAATTCCCAACTGCACAGACAAATTGCGGAACAGAGGGTGGGGCAATCAAATACTTTCCATCTCTGGGAAGTGTTCCCGAGTCTCTTAGACACAAATGTCTAGAGTCTAGAATCCACAGTATTGGGTGTGTGGACGTCACCAGCCAAGTCCCACTGCTAGAGAGAGAGAGTGCCAGGCTGAGAGTGCCTCGGAGGCTTTTGTATGTATTGCTCTACATTGAGCTGCTCCCAGGGGCCAGCTGGAACCAGCTGAGAAAGACATTCACAAACTTCTCATGTTTAGGATCCTGACAAAAAGCTACTAAGAAAAGGAGAATATTCCCAGACATCTCAAATGCTTGAAGAGTCCACTCTTTCCAATGATTATTTTATTCATCCTCTTTAATAATAAAAAAATCAAATGACATGCTTATAAAATGGATGCATCTACCTGAGGAAAGCATTTTGTATCTTTTCCCTAGTTATCATTTCTCTCTTTGCAAACCACTGGTTTCAGAATCACTATTTGGTGCCTAAGACGTGGTTCTCAATGTTGAGCTGCACTAAAGGAAATAATATCCTCTTTATTTTACCTTTCTTATCTTCTGCCTTTTCCTCCCGAGGTGGTGTTTTCTCAGATACAGAGCCATTACCTTCTTCAGACTTCCCTACATTCTCCTCTCGGGTGGATTCCTCTCCGATGGGTATCATGTGCCCGTTTGAATTTTCAAAGTTAACTGTTACATCTCCATCTAAAATGGGAAAGAAACACCTATGTCTAACTTGATGGCTTTCTTAAAAACCAGTTTCCCAGCTAATATGATTATAGGATCCAGGTTTGTGTTTCTATCCCTGGGAACCAAATCACCATGTCTTACTAAGTAATTTATCTGAAAGAAAGAGCTAGAAAATCCTTAGTCTTGGGAAAAGTAACTATGGAGGGAAAAAATCCTCATCCCATTTCAAGACAATTGAAACAATTAGCCTAATTCTATGATCCCCAGGCAGCAGTCTCTCTGTTCTTGGGCTTAGATTTTGTTGAAGTCAGTATTTCAGTGATTTGTTTTGGTTTTTTTTGAAATCCAGAAACTGAATGGTGAAAGGAATAATCTGCAAAATGGAATAAACATTTTAACATGCACCAAAAACACAAGGTACACAAATAACATGAAATGCAATTACACATACAAACAAGCAGTGGGACAGTAAGAAAATTTACAAGCAGTATTGTCTTCAGAATATATTATTATATATATGATAGATTAACTTCACAAAGATGTAACTGCTACTCTCTCTCCAGAGAACAGATGGTACGAAGCTTAATTTTATTTTTATTTCCTTATTTATGGAAAGATTAAAATATACTCCGGCAATTATTCTATATAACTAACCCAAAAGTCCTTCAGATAGCACAATAATAACTAAAAAATACTAGGTGAAAAAACACATAAAAAGTAATTACAGAGGAATTTTTAAAAATCATAACTAAAAACAAAATCTCTAATATATAAATAAAGTAATTTTCACCTCTGACATTTAATATTTTCTGAGAGTTTCTAAAGTGAAAGAGGTTTTGCAGAAACTTTTAATTCAGTGATGCTTGAAAAGATTACCCTTAAGTTCGTCCACGGAAAAATGGAAGAGGCTCTGTTATTTTTGTAAAAGTAAAATTAATTAATTGAAGTATTAATTTAGCAAACTGGAAGAAATGCATGATTAGAGCAGCTTCTGAGCAATTTTTGATAGATCTTATTTTGGCAATCATTATAAACCACAGACCATTTCCCAAATTTTCATTGCTTTGATTCAACAATAAAATTCATTGGCCTTCTGGACAAAAACAGGCAGGACATTTTAAAAAGTAAAATAAGTATCATGGAATTATGTCATGCTCAAAATGGAAACTCAAGTGTTGTTTAGTCATATAACTTCTAAGGATCTATACTCTAATTTCTACTAAAACTAAAATAAACAATGATTGCAGGCAATAATACTGCAAGTGAATCTTAACTCTTTCAACAAAATTAAGGTAAGAATTATTGTATCCCCAGCAGTTAGCCATAAAACAAGGGAGAAGACATAATATACCCAGATAAAATAAAAATAATATAAGAACGGATAATTCCATTCTTTGTATAAAAATCTTCACTTTTTGGTAGCACAAGTAAAATTTATGTTGTTTTCTCTGATTTTAGTTGGTAACAAATATATATTAAAGTCATGTTAATGACAACTTAATTCAATTTTAAGCAATTCTATTTAAATTCTTTAGGTGGTTAAATAACTGATTTCTTAAAATGTAAAGATAGAGGTGCCAGGGATTTAGCTCAGTGGTGCTGCCACCTTCCTCGCAAATGCAAGGTCCTGAGTTCAATCCCTGGTACCAAAAAAAAGAGTAAAAATAGAAAGAAAATTATTTGGGTCACAAGAAGAAACTGCATTGTCACATGAGAGCAACAGTCAACAGTTGTAGAAAGATACTTACTTTGAAGCATGAAACAAAACTAGTGCATATAAATATAACTGTAGAAAAAAGAGACACATGTGTAATAAATACGGAATTCAAGAATGAAACAGAGAAGAACTGAAGGTATTAATTAATTAGTATATTATTGAAAAGCTTTTCTAATATTGTGTTAAGAAAACTGTCTCAGAATTGAAATAGGTTAAATCTTTGATATAGCACTTGAGTGTAAGCAAAATGTACACACAGCAAAGGGAGGCACAAGATGATGCTGAGCTTAGCATGTGTTGCACACACCTTGCAGGAGCATTAGTATACAAAAAACAAGAACTCAAATCACTATAAGCTTAAAGTAAAAAGCAAAAGAAAGCAAAAGCAAATAAATTCAAGAGTGTTTGAAAGAGCTTACCTCTTTCTGGTGAGCAAGGATATACAGGAAGGAGTTAAAGAAAGAACAACTATGAGGGGGAAAATCATGTCTGACCAAAAGGTAAGGGACTCAGTAGAAAGGGTAAAACTTAACCCATGAGAGAACCAGAAAGGAGCAGAGCATGGCAGTCAGGCCAAGACAGGCCACATGTTAAAGGTGAGGGAAAAGATGGAAGGAAGGAACCAGAGGTAAGAACTCAACTTGCACTGGACCATGTGTCCTCTTCTCAGGACAGATCAATGGCTGGGATACAGGATTGAAGTGAGAACTCGGTATAAAAAAGACGATCTAAGTATAATAGTAATAAAGGCTGCGAGTGAGGGTATGGGATAAGAAGGGCTGAGGTCAAACCCAGGCACCTGAAGAGATCTAAAAATTCTATCTGACCCATGAGAAAGGACATAATTGACAAGCATTGTCAAAAGGCCTAGCAAGGTCAAGAAGATCAATGCTGAGAAGCAAGCTGCATTGGCAGGAGAGGAGGTTGTCACCAGAGGCAGCTCCCAGTCTCTCCCACTGAAATTCTCAAGGTAAATTATTTTTGAGCAATTGACAGAAACTCATTTTCTCCAGCCTTTGGGCTGAAAGAGAGGATTTTATTTACAATAGGTGCCCGCGGGGACTTTGAAATGTTATGTAATTTTTATAGTTCTATATGGAGACCATGCAAAAGGTAGAAAAAAAGTGGAATTCCGCAGATTAGGATTTCCCAAACATTAAGCCTTCTGTATTATGTTCAGGTTAAAAATTTGTGTGTCCTTTTATGTTTTAAAACTTCCAATGTTCAGCTGCAAAAGATGAACAAAAATGTCAAAGTCAGATTTCAAGAAATAAATATATGTTGCCCAGTTTAACAGATTACGCAAAATAAAATCCAACTAATATTAAGCATTAAAAAAACCCATGACCACTGTTACTTATTTTCAGAAAAAGTAAAATAATTTTCTACTTGCAACTTTTAATTAGGAAAAAAAATGGGTCTTTAGTCTCCATCTTTAAAATCTATTTTTCAATGGTAAATTTTTGCTGTTTTTCTTTATTGAAAATATTTTCCAAAAATGGTATCAAATAAATACACTGGACACTGCTTAAAACTGATGGTTTAGTGTCCAGCTCCCAATGGTTACGTAATTTCTCTACTGTCTCCAGACAGACTGGACCTGAGATGAATTCTGGTATTTGCATGTCCACCTTCAAATTAAAAAGGTTAAAGATGTGCACTTTTTATCTTAAAAAGCTGCAGACAGGAAATAAATAGCTTCGAGGTAATAGAAAATTAGACAAGACATAAAGTTCATTTATAAAGTAGAGTGAGAAGAGTCTGACAGGTCAGAAATTAAAGTAAAATAGCTAAAATTGTAAAATGAAATAAAGATAGAATGACTGTATTTGCTGCAGATCCCCAGCCCCCTTTTTTGAGGTAGGAGTAAAACAGCAAAGCATCTCCAAGCTCCACTTTGGAATTCTTTAGATACTGGGAAAAGCATGTCATTTCAATTTATAAGTAGCAAATGTCAAAAAGTATTAAGTTCTTTCCAAGGAACATCTGTCAAGAAAAGAGAAGTACTATTATTTCAATTCCAAATTAACAGCATTTTAATTGTTCTCATGAAGTTTCAATAATACTACTTTACCTCCAGTACACCTAGGAGGAAGACCTAAGGTAAATCAACAATGTCAGAGCAAAATTCCTTTAGCTTTAACAGCAGTTAAAGACAATCATTCAGTATTATTCATTTGGAGAAATAACAATACTGATGTATGTTTTTGAGGGTCAATCCTGGTCTCAATCTAGCCCTTGTCTTTTCTGAGCAAGATTTTCCCACTTGAGAGGTTATGAGAAAACAGGGACGACGATTAGAGGGAAGCAAAAATACTTGGAAATAATCCTTGTTAGTGACAAAGTCAGAGGCAATTAGATTCGGAGAAAAGGAAAAAGGAAATACTGGAAAAATTACTTGGGAGAAAGCAGATTCATTTGTCTCTTCATGCCTTATTGCTCGTACATTCAGGTATATTACGGAGGACAAGGGGTGTGTTTGTCATCTTTTTACTGATAACCTTAAGAAACAGACAAGGCATGAATAAGATAAAACTGCATTTACTCAAACAATTGAGTTTAACTTGAATGGAAAGGTTAAAGCTTAAGAACAGCGAAGAGAAGAGAAGATGGCATGCAAGCTTTGTATCTTTATCTGTATCTCGAGCCACCAAGGTACCTGCATAGAGGTCTGGGTTTACCGTGATCTATGGCGGAGGATTCACCAGAAAAGTCACTGGATTTCTTTCCTGTAACACCTCGGATTCTCTGCAGGCCACAGAGGCCTTCCAAATTAGAGCAAGATTCCCGGAGTGCATTACTCGCTGCTTTGTCTGACAAAGACCAGAATCACTTTAAATTTCAAAAGAAAATGAAAGAAAGACCAGGGAATGAAGGATCCAATTAATTTAAATTACGATGAATTTCCTCACCTTGATCAGGCAGTTCCTTAATCACGCCTCTTCTTACCAACTCCTCTCTACTTTGCCTGGTGGATATCTTCCTCTCTAACACTTTCAAAAAGAATAAGCACACAGAAGAACCAAGTCAGTGCTTACAATAATCATGAATAACATTCCAAGTAGAATTGAGTACATCCATTCTGACCACAGAAGGGCCCAAACCCCAAGGTTTTTCATAGCCTAGCAAAACATGTGTGGAGTTAAACTGGTGTAGCTAGGATAAGAGCAGATTATGTCAACCCAGTCACTGTCCCTGGTTTTTCAAATGATAATCTCTGGCCAATAATCCAGACATACTATTCCATATCAACTACAGAGTACAAGGCTGCCTCACTATTCCTTTCTTTAGTAGCAATGCATTCTCTGGATATGTACTGTACATACAGGATACATATCTGTATGTTTAAGGACAAAAGCAACCCACAAACTTCCAGGAACTATTCAGTGAACTCCTGAATTTCTCAGGGAGGAATGTTTTCCTCTTACAGCAATCTCCTACAAGAGTGCAGCACAGCAGGTTTCGAGTCTTTTCTCTCCATACTCTCAACTTCTAGAGGGTTCTGGTCTATCTCCTGAGAAACCCCAAGAGTTTGGAGAACAGAGAAGGGAGGTAAGAATGGGCAGCTTTGCCTGGCGTGTCGAAGGTGTGAATCTCCTTACTGGTTCTTCCTTCCTCAGGATGAAATCCGTACTCCTGCTACAACTTTAGAATGGAGCTTGGGAGACCCTGAGCAAGACCTCAGTAGTTCACTTTATTTGCACCTACTTTTAGTTCCTGAATCCTACAAGTCTAGGCAACCTGTACCTCCACATCCCACTTTTAGAGGCCAAGAAGGAATGCAAATTTAACATGTGGTCATGTCGCGCACTAATCCTTTGAGTCAACCTTCCCCAAAGATCCTCTATTCAAAAAGTAGCCCAACATACCTCAGATGAGCTAGACATGGGGGCCCAGGGCACTCTGAAGGAAAGGAAATATACACTGGTGGAGCCCAGGTACAGTTAGCCTTGATTTCTGGCCCTTCCTAAGATTCCTACTCCTGGCTGCATAATCTGCAAATCTAAGAGCTGCTCGGCACAGCACAATCTCAAGTAAATTAAAGCCAAAGGGAAGCCTGGGACCCCAGCCCATGTCTTGACACATACAAAGGGAGCGCAGGACAATACCAAGAACACATCTTCTCTGTGCTTTAGGTGGCCTGAAAAAAGGACACTGACAAGAGAGAGGGGAGAGAGAGGGTGTGCCTTCGGCAGGACCTTTGTAGTTTGCACATAAAAGTCTTCCCTAAGTGTTTACTAATGGCATGAACCCCAGAATAGTAACACTTAAGTCTCTCTTGATGAAATCCAATTTTTTTCTTTTCTGATCACTGGGAAGTGCAACGTGTGTGTGTGTGTGTGTGTGTGTGTGTCTGTGTGTCTGTGTGTGTTTTCCACCCTGGTTGCTAAAAGGTCAAAATGCAACTTGATATTTAACATGGATTTTTATATGATAATCCATGCTCTTCTTCGATGACTTGATTTCTCTTACATTCCACTTTATTACCATATATTTACTCTTTGCTATAAGTTCTGGCAACCATTTTTGTATAGAGTCAGAATATAAAAAGCAAGAGTAAGTGAATAAGTGAGTGAATGGTCGAAAGAGTGACAATAAACACTGGATGAGTTTTAGGAGAGACACAGAGGAGCCTCCTCTCCCTTCCTGTAGATGACTCTCCCACCCCCATCCCCCACCCAGAGGCGAAAAACCACAGTTTATGCCAGGGATGGGGATTTCAAGGGACAAAGTTAACCAGCAGAGGCGAGGAGTTCCTCCAAAGGCAGTGCTTTGTATAAAGAGTGCTGTTATTTAAATGCAGTTTCGGTTTGTTCAGACTCCTGTCAGAAGAGAGAATGGGCATCTATACAGGAAGCTACACAAAACCACCCCTCAGGGATAGGAAGGACACGGCGAGAGTGTGCAGGTGGTTTAGAAGGGCTCTGGGCACCACTGCCTCCCAGAGATCGTCCAAACCCAGTCAGGCTTCAAGGGGGGGTCTGGGGTGCAGCAGGATTCTCAAGACTTCTGGCAACAGGTACTTTGGTCTCCATTCTTGGGGGCCCAGAGACCCCCAGCTGATCACCCTAAGTTTGAGGCTGGGGGTAGCAACTGCATAAGAGAGTGCTGCTGGGCCCAGGGTGGGCCACTGTCCCCACACACTGCATATCACAATGCACGCACGTCAGCTGTCATTCTTTTTCCACCCTTTCCTCATGCAAAACAGAACTCTTTGTTCACTGCTTCTGCAAAGTTGCCTACAACACAACACAGTTGTCAAGAGTCCTGAGTGCTAGTTGCAGGACTTTGGGTGGTCACCTAGGACTCCAATCCATGACTTATAAAAAGAGGGACAAGATTCACTGATCACTAAGGACAGCTCAATCCAGCTCAAAGATTCTGTGATTCTGCATCATAAATAAAGGATGTTCTGTAATCTCCGCTTTGGGCATCTTTAAAAACTTTCATTCTTGTACTAAAAACACGTCTAAGAGTCTGGATCATATCCCATGTACATTCCTGCCTTTCCATTATGGATCCCCGAGGATTCTTTAGCTTGAATTTGGGGTTTTCTGTTGCTTTAGTTAGAATGTAATCTCAGCTAAAAATCCCTCCTCTTTCATCCCTGTAAAGTAGAAATGCCTTCTGTTTCTTCCTTGTAAATGCTGGGACTTTGAAGCAGCAGTGTTGGCTTCCTGCCAACAATCAAAACCAACAGCTTTGTTCTTTCTCTCTACCTTCAAAAACAGGTCCTGATAGGGAAACGTCATTGGGTATTTGTTTGGTCTTTGTCTGAGAGCATTTTTAACATATAATGCAGATAACTGTGTCCCGGGCCCATGAGAACAAGCTGCAGGCCACTGAGCATGGAAGGTATGTTGCTGGGCACAAAATCCCAACCCCTCCTCTCACTAAAGTACAAATACCTCATTCTTCACCTTTCAAAATATTTACCTCGTGTTTATATAGTGTCTGTGTGTTTGCTGAGTGCATTCACTTGACGCTTTTCCCAGGCTCGGAGGGCTTCTGCTTTGGCGTGAATCTGACAGGTCATTCTAGTTCACCGTGCCACGCAGGACAGCAGCACCGCAGGGCCATCGCTGACGTGCGCCGCCTGCTTCCAAACTCGCCCAGACCAGATGCCCACTCTTCTGCCCAGCCCACTGCCATTATCGACCCCCCTCGTTTTAGGGAGGTAACCCTCACAAGGCATCCAGATCTCGCTCTCAAGAACTTCTGCACATGAACCAAACCTACACTGCCCATGGCTCTAGAACAGAGGAGGTCACTCTGTGAGTGGGAAACAACAGGAGTCAGTGCCACATGCTGAGCAGGGTACAGAAGCTTCTAGAACCTCCTCATTCCATGTATCGCACCAGGTGTCCTTTGCCCCTGATGCTCATACTAACCTGTGGATTAAAATTAACATTAAAACTGGGGGGGGGAGTCCCCCATAGCTGTAGCATAACCAAAATATTGCCAAGGAAGAGATGAGTGGAGTGTATTGGCTCTGTCTCTCCTTGAAAAGTACTGTCACCAGTTGAGGAAATAAATGGTTCACCGTTATTCTTTTTTAGCCTAACTGAAAAAGCATGAGTGACTCTTACTTCGAGATCAAGCGAAGCCAGATTTCTCTGTCACTCTCTGTGTGAATTAATGTTCTGACATTTCAATACTGATCACAACAGCACAGAGTATAAATCTCTCCAGGAAGTGGAAGAACTACAAGCCCCCATTTTCCTGATTTGTACAATGGTTTTTCAAGTATTTGATAAAGATCAATGTTTGAAAACCTTCCAATGGCAGCCATCTTAGTTTGGATAATATCTCAGCTCCTCAGCACGGGTCTCTAAGGTGGATCCCTGAGGATGTCCCTTCTCCCACCTGCCTGTCTGACCCAGCCCCTGCAGCTTCGCCCGGATGTGTGTCCCTACATGGAGGCCTCTGTCTTTGCCAACGTGCCATTTCTCCAGCATGGCTCACTCCATCGTGTCCTTCAAGCTCTGCTCAAAGGTTGCCTCATTAGAAATCCCTTTAGCAGATACCGTATGTAGAATAACTCACTCCCTTTCCCGTTTTTACCCATCTTCCTTTTCTGCACACCCTGTGATCACCTCCTGACATGTGTACGTATATGATCTCAATGAGGCCCAGAGGTCTGTTTGGCTTACTGCTGTGTCCTCACTTGCGACCTACACTTTATCTGCACTCCAAATATATGTGCATTTACTAAATAAGTGGTGTAGTAATTAAAATGGTCTCGCTTCTTACCTCCTCCTAACTTGATTTAGGAGAAAGCAAGTGAGGTTGGAGGCAAAACCTTCAGGAACAAGAGCTTTCTGTCTTCTCCCTCCTTTGCTCGTTGGCTGGGCCAGTCTAAGGGAAAATTCTGTTTTCTGTCCTATGGATCATCTGAAAAAGGCTCTGTATGCCCCGAAGAAGGGAGTCCATAGTGTGTGGAGGACAGACATAGCAGCTAGTAGGGTGTAGTACATGAGCGGCTGGCTCTTCATAAATTACAAATGGTTTATGATGTCCTTCTGGGCACGGAACAGCAGCCGTGGAGCCTGCGGCATACGCCACCAGTTCCTTTCTGTGGAGACTTGGCCTGGATTTCATATTACTCTGGAAGTATCTGTGAGAGTAAATCTTGTAGTCAGCAAGTCACTTGTGTTTTCATTTGGCGAGGAAAGAGAGTCCTAATTCTCAATTCTAACACCATTTAGTGACTGAACAAAACAGACGCGCAAATAGGAGACCATGAAATAAGCACGCCTTGTTATCTTCTTGGGCCTGAGTAGTGAATGGGCTTACTGTAAACTGTGACAGACACACAGAAAACCACTTGTGCCTGGTGAAAATGTTCTATAAGAGCTGGCATGGCTTTGCTCCTCTTCAATAGCAGTTACAGGAAACAGAAAGTCAGAAAATGGTCTCCTTTCTAAAAGACCCTTCACTAAGACGCTGGTAGTTAAGTCACTGAAAGAAATCACTACCCTCATGCTGCCCA